TCTCTAGGACGGAACAGTGTTTGACCGTCCAAGGCCTCTGTGTCTGCATAGGAACTTCCAGGTGCGGCCGAACGACGCTTCCAAATATTTTGTAAAAGTTTTCTCTTTCAAACTCCAGGAAGGCTCATCTCATCAGCTGCAAAATAGATCTGGATGGCTTCGCCGCCTTCGTTTTTTGAGGCTTAGGTTAAGATAATCTACGAGCTGAGTTGCGAGGCCCCCTAGTTTAAAGACAGGGTGTGTTTCGAGTTGAATGAAACCAATCAATCTGGAATCCACCAGATGCCTTGCAGGCAAAAGATTAAAAAGGGTTTGGGCAGATTTGAATAATTCATCTTACCCACTTTTGAAAATGCCCGTGACCTCGGCGGGATTCACGCCTGCGCCAGCAAGAGAAAGGATCTGGTACAGCCCCAGCTGCAATAAACCGAACTACGAGACTCCCTCGCTTAAAGGTAGAGTATCCGTCTGTTTGAGTGAGGACAGTAAATATAGAATCCATCAGATAACTATCAGGCACAGGAAATTATAGTTTATGTTAAAACTGCTAAAATGTCGTTATGTAGACAAGAAAGAGACGACGGAGGCGTTTCAATCACCAGAATCATAATTTAACTTGTCTGAGCTTTCGGGCTCTTTCTGGAGTCCATTATCGTAGATAAAGGGCGTCAACGAAAGACAAGCAACAGTTGTAGGAGGCAGGGACCAATCAACCGTTACAGGGGAAGGGAGCAATCAAACAGCAATGCAACAAGTTCGGAGATGCCTACGCAGAGCGTTGTATGCCGGCGCCAGATCGATAAATTGATTGACTCAGGTCCCATCGGAGGCCCAGGCTTCAATAAATTCGCGGCCTGTCTTGTTGCCGGCGCGCGCGATTACCCTCGCAGCCGGGAAATTAAACTCGTAAATGGTTTCGATGGTATAGGCAACCAGTTGCGATAATGCGTCCCCCGTCTTACCGCCAGTTTATGTTCGTGTATGCATGAACCCAGCATGCGACAAGTCTGTCCGGTGTAATTTCGGGAACAGTTTAGACATGGTATGTGATACACTACCCCCGAATGCTCACTGGGATTTAAACGGTCTATGATTCGCATGATCCGGCT